CTGCCTTGGGGGAGATGGAATCTGGGCCAGGTAAAAGTTGATACTGGAGGAGGTCACTGGTAGAGGACAGGAGGCATCTTACAGGGACACCAAGACAATATTTTATTTTATTTTATTTCTTAGAGACAGAGTCTTGCTCTGTCACCCAAGCTGGAGTGCAGCCGTGTGATCACAGATCACCACAGCCTCCAACTCCTGACCTCAAGTGATCCTCCTGCCTCAACCTCCTGAGTAGCTGGGATTGCAAGTGTGTGCCACCACACCTGGCTAATTTTTTTGAGACAGGGTCTCACTCAGTCACCCAGGTTGGAATGCAGTGGCATGATCACGATTCACTGCAGCCACAACCTCCTGGGCTCAGATGATCCTTCTGCCTCAGCCTTCTGAGTAGCTGAGACTACGGGCATGAGCCACCACATCCAGCTAATATTTAATTTTTTTTTTTTTTAGATAGGCTCTCACTATGCTGTTCAGGCGGGTCTCAAATCCCTGGGCTCGAGTGATCCTCCCTCCTTGGTCTCCCAAAACGTTGAGATGACAGGTGTGAGCCACCACGCCAGGTCCCACCTATTTTTTTTTAAATTATATATATTTTAAGAGACAGGGTCTTGCTATATTTCCCAGGCTGGTCTTGAACTCATGGCCTCAAGCGATCCTCCCACCTTGGCCTCCCAAGGCACTGGGATTACAGGAGTAAGCCACCACAACCAGTCTGGAGATGATTTTCACTGGGGGGGAAAAAAAATCAAGGCATACTTCCGGAGAGGCGCCGGGTTCACTCAACTTCAGAGGCAGAAGAGGACTCCCAGGCAGAGACTGGGATGCTGTTCCCACCTGCAACTTCCTGCCAGTCTCTCCCTGGAGCCCCGTGCTGATAAGGGTGAGGTGTCAGGCCCTTTCTCAGTAGGTGAGGAAAACTGGGGCCCACGCTCACTCGGGGAGACAGCTGAGCACAGAGGTGTGACTCTGCCACACAGCGGGTGCTTAGAAAGTGACGCTGAGTGCTTTGTGGTAGGCGGGGTGGCCCGACTCAGATGTCCCGACCACAGCACGTCATGGTGCCCCCTGGCTGCGGCCTGAACCTTCCCTGGGCTGCCTTGGGCTCTGTTTCCCTTCCCTGGGCAGAGCCTCCCCAAACCCCCAGAGCCGTCACTGTGAGGTCTTGGCCGGGGATCCTTACTGTCTGGAGTCTTCTGGTTGTTTTTGAGTCAGGGTCTCACTCTGAGGCCCGGGTTGGAGTGCGGTGGCACAATCACCAAAGCCTTGATCTCCTGGGTTCTGGGGATCTTCCCTCTTCAGCCTCCCAAGTGGCTGGGAGTACAGGCGTGCACCACCAG